CCCCTCGCGAGTCCGAGTCGTTACCAGCAGTCACCAAGTCACGCTTGAGAAGTGAACAGCGAGCGAGCGTCTTCAAGGAGCTGCGAGGATCTGCAGGGAGGTGTAAGGATCTTCAGGGAGCTACAGGACTGGAGCAGCGAGTCATCAAGGTCAAGGAGTCAATCAGGACCGTCGGAAGTACCGAAGGTCACAAGCAACGAGTCAGGGCCAACCAAGCTACTAAGACACTTGTAATAATATACCCGCAATAAACCCAATACGAACCCGTGAATTCTGTGCTTTCTCACTGAGCTGATTAGAGGACATGAGAAAAGCATTATCCGAGTATTACTTAGAAACGGATAATGACCCACAACTCGTTGACATCTGGGTCGATTTGGAAGCCACATACCACGACAAAGCCGGCCCCAGCATCACGTTAACAAACGCCGAAGGGGACAACTTAGTGGCAAGCCTGAGCGTTGACAATCTACAGAAGGAGGCAAACAGGAGAGAATCAAGCCAAGACAGGAAAATAACAGCGCTAATCTCGAGACCCAGTCAGTCAGACTATGCAAGGATCGCTAAACCGCCCGACCGCGAATGGTCGTTCAGGTTCGACGGGGCGGAAAAACCGTTCGAGCTCCTGGAACAGGGGGAATGGTCCGCCAACACATACGGCTTGGAGTTAGACATGATTCCGCGAGCGATGCCTGAATTGCTGAAAGGAAGGGCTCTGAAGTGGTTTATCGCCAACAACAAACAATGGAAAACATGGGCGGAGTTCATAGATAGTTTCCACACATACTTTCTACCGAGAGACTTCTTCACCAGGCTGGCGGATCAGGTCAGGCAACGGAAGCAGGGCTTCAGCGAGTCGTTCAAAGACTACATGATCGACATGCAGACGATGGTGAGGCCACTTAATTATTCCACTAAAGAGACCCTAAGGATCATCAAGGAAAACTGCACCCCCAGTCTAAGGATCTTCCTAAGGGCATACAAAGTGTCGGACCTGGACACGCTGATGATATTAGCAGACGAGTATGAAGAACTCGAAAAGGAGCGGGAAGCGTTAGCGCAGGATAACAAATTCTGGAAAACCAAGTCGGCATCGCCAGCGCGGGTAACATGCAGAAGATGCGAAGAGACAGGAATCCAGGAGACACGGGGAAACGACCAATGGTCGCCACCTAACCGAGTACCACGGCAGCAGGCAACAGGAGCACCACGCGGAGGCCAATGGACACCACCACAACAGCAACAGATGCAGCCAGCAAACAATGTTTGGAGGCCACCAAGTACAACACAAAGGCCTCGTGAAACGACACACATCACAGACCCCCAGGAGGCCTGCCGAAAGTGCGGCGGTCATGGACACTGGGCGCGGGGATGTCGGCACTAACGCCTGTTGTTCTGCTGGGTGTGCGGGAGAGTAGGCGTCAGGAGCGTCGAATGCTGCCAGCAGGCGGGAAATGCCCAGCGATCTCAGCCGCAGAGAGGCGAGCGGGGGTCGCAAGATGCTACCTCTCCAAACTAACAGGAAAGCTGATCGAATAGGAGCAGCAAATGTCCGCAGCGGTGACGATTGGTGAGGGCACATACAAGGCCACTATCGACACCGGGGCAACAGCAAGCTTTATAAGCAAAGAGCTGGCGGACGACCTTTCTGCCCTCGGCAAGTTAGGTTGGCAGACGGAAGATGTGGCGGAATCGATGAGCAGCTGGAGGTGGAAATTGCGTTCGGGAACAAGCGACTGAGCATGAGCCTGCTGATACTACCAGGGGTAGTGGATTTATTGGTGTTGGGATGGAACTTTCTGACACATGCCGGTACAGAGATTAAGTGCGCTGGACACGAAGTGATAATACCGGCCAGGAATCGTCACAAGGGATGGCTCGAGGAGAAGCTATCGGTGCCAGTCGTACAACGGGCAAGCGAAGACGACGTCACGACGAAATTCCTAGAGGCAGAGCTAGCGAGTTTCAGCAGCATGAAGGGAGCGTCAAACATGGCAGAGCATCAGATCACGATGAAAGACGACAAACCAATAAAGCAGCGATACTATCCCAAGAACCCGAAAGTTCACGGGGAGATCAATGCGAAGGTGGACGAGCTTCTCCAAATGGGATAAATAGAACACTCACCAAGCCCATACAGTTCTCCCACCGTGATGGTTAAAAAAAAGACGGGCAAATGGAGACTGTGCGTCGACTTTAGGCAAATAAACGCAAAATCTATAAAGGATGCCTACCCGATGCCCCGAATAAATTAAATTCTCGACCAACTGAGGGAAGCACGGTACATCAGCAGCTTGGACCTAAAGGATGGGTACTGGCAAATCCCACTGAAAGCAGACAGCAGGCAGTATACGGCGTTTACAGTGCCGGGGAAAGGTTTATTCCAATGGAGAGTAATGCCATTCGGACTTCATTCGGCGTCGGCGACTTTTCAACGGGTGCTGGACCGAGTGATCGGCCCCGAAATGTCGCCGCACGCATTTGCTTACCAGGACGACATCATAGTAATCGGGCGCTCGCTGGAAGAACACAAGGCCAACCTAAAGGAAGTGTTCCGACGACTAAAGGAGGCAAATCTGAGGTTAAACCCGGAGAAGTGCCAATTTTTCAAGAAAGAGCTGTTATATCTCGGTCATCGAGTGACTAGCGAAGGAATAGGCACGGATCCGGAAAAGGTAGCAGCCATCGCCGAACTAGAACCACCATCGACACTAAGAGAGCTCCGACAGTACCTGGGCGTAGCATCATGGTACCGCCGGTTTATACAATACCTGACTTCGCAAAAATAGTCAAACCTCTCAACGATCTGCTACGCAAGGGCAATAAGTGGGTGTGGACACAGGAACATCAGACGGCGTTCGAAGAGGTGAAGGCAAGACTCGTCGCAGACCCCGTACTGGCATGCCCGGATTTCGACAAACCATTCATCTTGCAAACTGACGCGAGCGACTACGGCATCGGGGCAATCGTGACCCAGGAAACTGAACGACGCGAAAAAGTAATCTCTTACTCAAGCCGAACGCTCAACGGCGCTGAGAAGAATTACTCAACGACTGAGTGCTTGGCAATCGTCTGGGCGATCCGAAAGCTCAAGCCGTATCTGGAAGGTTACCACTTTAAAGTAGTAACCGACCACATGGCGCTGAAGTGGCTCAACAGCATAGAAAGCCCTTCACGGAAGATCGCCAGATGGGTCCTGGAGTTGCAGCAGTACGACTTAAATAGCGTACAGGAAAGGACAACTCAACGTGGTGGCAGACGCTTTGTCAAGGCAGCCACTGCCGGAAACACTTCGAGGGATCAAATGCTGCTGGTATTGATAGACCGGTTCTCCAAGTGGACTGACTTGGTGCCGCTGCGAAGCGCGACGGCCGAGTCCCTAAAGAAAGCTTTTAAAGAACGCATAATCGCGAGGTATGGGGTCCCCAAAATAGTCATAACGGACAACGGAGTCCAGTTTGCCAGCAAAATTTTCAAGAGTTTCCTGGCCGAAATGGGAGCCAAGCAACAGTTCACAGCTCCATACACCCCACAGGAGAACCCAACTGAGAGAGCCAATAGGACGGTGAAAACAATGATAGCGCAGTTCGCAGGGCAGAACCAAAGAGACTGGGACGAAAAATGGCCGGAAATCATGCTGGCAGTAAACACGAGCGTTTCAGAATCTACAGAAACCGTAGGGACCGGACGACTGACAGAGACCCCGGAGGAGAAAGCAAACAAACTCAGAGAAATCTTCGAGATTGTAAGGCGGAACCTGGAGAAAGCATCCCAGGACCAGGCTACGCATTATAACCTAAGGAGGAGGCAATGGACGCCAAAGGTGGGTGACGTCGTGTGGGCCAAGGAACACCACTTATCAAAAGCGGCCGAGGGGTTCGCAGCAAAATTGGCCCCAAGATACGACGGACCTTACCAAGTCATGGGTTTTTCGTCACCAGAAATCTGCAAAATACGACACATAAACACAAAGAAAGAGCGGACCATCCAAGCGAGCTGAAACAGCAACTAACGGAAAACACAAGCGAGCGGCCACAGCAAGCAGACACAACAGACGAAAAACAACATTGAAAGTACAAGGATACCTCCAAGGATGCCCAAAGGATACTACGAAAAGAGTCAAAGGATACCTCGAAGGATGCCCAATGGATACTACGAAAGGAGTCCAAGGATGCCTCCAAGGATGCCCACAGGATGCTACGAAAGGAGTCCAAGGATACCTCCAAGGATGCCCAAAGGATACTACGAAAGGAGTCCAAGGATACCTCCAAAGATTCGAAAGGGATACTACAAACCGACTCCAAGGATACTATAGGGCAACTACAAAGGCGCAATGAAACACATAAAGGACATCAGGAGAACGTTAAGAACACAAAGGGAGCAAACCAGAGCGTCTAAGGTCTCGATTGGGACTGATCGGAGGAAAGAAAAAACACGCATCAAAAGTCTGCCGAAGGAAGGGGGAAGACGGCACAGAGCAGAGAGCTGTACCGTAGATCTGGGTAGTAAGAATGAAGGCCGAAGGAAATAACGGGATTGAGCAAAGAGGAAGGCTCGGAACCGAGGTGTCGTTGAAGGGAGCCCAGGCTTCAGATGAACAATCAAAATCAACGAGCATCATGAGCACACGCATAGCAAGGAGCGAAGCGCGCAAAATGATGGCTAGCCCGGGGCAAGGATGGTCGACAGCCCGGCCTACGTGAACCTCGCGGCGGATCTCGGGGCGGGGCGTCCCCGAGCCGGTCACCAGCTCCGACAGCGACGTCGAGTTGGCGGAGGACCCGCGGGTGGAGCAGCGGCGATGGCGGCTTCGAAAAGCGGTCAACCGGGCCGACGGACGCATCCCGACTGGCGCGGCGGAGGTGGAGTGGGCCAGCGAAGAGGCGCCCCAGGACCAGCTGGCTCCCAGTAGCCATGCCGAGACTGTGGTAGCGGCGATGTGGGAGTTTCGACGAAAGTGAGAGGCGCGAAGGCGGAGCGAGGAGCGGCGGTTGATGGAGATGGAGGAGTCGCCGGAGTGGCAGGCCCAACTGTGGATGGCCGAGGAGGAGGAGCAGCAGCTGTGGGAAAACCCAGGGTACCCACCCACGCCAAGGTATGCGCCCGAGCCCTGCATCCCGCCGCAAGAAGTGGCAGACGTCTGGGCGTCCTCACCTCCGCGGTGGCTGCCCGAAATCCCGCCCACACCGCGGTACGAGGGGTCACCACAGTGGACGCCAGCACGACCGCCCACGCCGAGGTTCGAGCAGCCACCACCGCAGCAGCAGCCACCACAGCGGCAGCAGCTCGAACGCGAGCAGCCACCACCGCAGCAGCAGCTCGAGCGCAAGCAGCCACCACCGCAGCAGCAGCCACCACAGTGGAAGCAGCTCGAACGCGAGCAGCCACCACAGTGGCAGCAGCTCGAACGCGAGCAGCCACCACCGCAGCAGCAGCCACCACAGCAGCAGCCACCACCGCAGCAGCAGCCACCACCGCAGCAGCAACACATCCGGACGGACATACCGGCGGCCCACGTGAGTCACAGCACCCGGACGTTCGTGGCCGAAGGGGTAAGGTGGCGGCAGCAGACGGTTGTCTGGACTTGGCCGGAGGGACCCGCGGAGGAGACGGCGGCGACGGAGGAGCCCCGAATCTGGGAAGAGAGTGGTCCCCGGGTGAGCCCGCTGCATCCCAGGACCCGCGGTAGACCGGAGCATTGGGCCCCACCGACGCCGAGCACCGGACCAACGACGCCAAGGACAGGGCCATCGACGCCAATGCCAACCGGGAGCGCGACGGCAACCGCGGAGCCAAATGAGCCGCTGGAGCGAGGACCCTGGATGTGGCCTGAGCCCGTGGAAAACGGTCGTCCTCCGCTCAAGCGGCAGCACTCGGCGCCCGAAGTGTCCGAGGTGGTGGCACGGCCGAAATTGTCGCGGACGGTGTCGGCGCCGGAGGGCCAGCGATGGCGAGAGATCGCGGAGCATGAGTGGCCCGAAGGGATCGCGGAGGCACCGGTGGTAAAAGAGGCTCGCATCCTGGGCGGCATGCGCAGCGTGCGCGTATGGAGAGAGGGGCGCGCGTTCCGCGTCCGGTTGGGGCTGGCGGGCACGAGAGTGTTCGAGGAGCGGCCGAATAAAATTTGAATAAAATGAACAAAACAGATTTTGAAACCCGGCATAGGACGGGAAACGCGGCTGAAACAGGGGCCAGAAGTAAGGGGCATACATGGCAGCTCCGGCATCCTGAAATTCATATTGGGTTAATACAGGAAGCAGCCAAACGATACCAAAATACTCACCTGCAGCGAAGCAAATGCGAAGTCCTCTCCGCACCAGCTCTCGAGTGTTGCCAGCGTGAAGCCAGGCGCAGCCGGCTGAGGACGATTGAAGGGCGAGAGAGAGAGACGAGAGGCGGGAGAGGTCGTGTGGAGAGAGATAGGATGAAATAGAAAGGAGTGAGGAAATGCGAAAACTTACCTAGAAAGTTGCAAAATCATCATGAGCCAGGGAAGGGGGCGTCTCGATAGGCGATCGATTGGCACTGGACGACAGTGCGATCGATGGGCACACGAAAATGGAAACATCGGCCAAGGTGGAAATATCGCAACGAGCAGGTGGCAACGCCACACCGTCGGTATCGATATGCGAATAAACATCGGTCACGCACGAATGGTGTTACCAGGCGGAGGAACCAATAAAAGGAGTAGAACGCAGCAACGAGCAGCGAGCTGGGGATCGATAGCCCACAAGTATCGATGTCCCAGTGGGGTCATGGAAAATATCGGCGCGGGAGATTCAAGTTGCTACGAGGAGGATGACCAGCGCTGTGGAAACTCAACAGAGTTAAGAGCGTCGTGGGAGCACCGAGGGAGCGCCGCGGGAATCACAAGGACTCGAAGGCTAGGATAAGCAAGGGAACGCCGGAGAGTAGGAAAAAGTTTTAAATGTTTCCCAAAGTAAGGGGGGAATGTGAGGAGTTGAATAACTCCCCACAAATAGAAGCAGCAGCAGATGGCCGGCCGCTTACCAGATACGCGGCGAATTCGCGTAGTAACGGCGCGGCGAGGAGAGTTTGGAGACTTGGATGGAGATCGAGAGAGTTTTGAGACCAAGGATGGAGAGCAAGAGAGTTTGAAGACTTGGATGGAGAACGAGAGAGTTTGGAGACCAAGGATGGAGATCGAGAAAGTTTGGAGACCAAGGATGGAGATCGAGAGAGTTTGGATACACAGGGTGGAGAGCGAGAGAGTTTGGAGACCTCGCGGGCAAGGCAAGAGTGCCGTGTGCAAAAACGGATAACGGAACTCCACCGGACTTTGGACTCTCCCGTGAACTTTGGACCGGGAGAAGAAGTGCCAGATCTCGGCAGTGGAGCGGCACACAGGCGTGCCACAAGCATCACAGGAATCAGCGGGACGGCAGCAGTGGGCGGAGCATCGATTGGATGCGGCACGTGAAGGACAAGTGGGTCAACCAGAAGGCACGGACTTTGGACCCGGAGTGGAGAGATTCAGCGGGCCATGCGCAATAGGGAAATAACGGATCCCGGAGGCCCTATATAAGGGCGCAGAGCGCTGGCAGCTGCACTAGTCGATCACAAGGAGTCAAACCGTCAAGATCACTTAGATACCAAAGTAAACAATCAAACGACCAGATAATCTACAAGGGAGCAACAACAAGTCGAGTCGCCAGAGAAGCAGCGCCGTGGGAGCCTACAAGGAGCAAGATTGCTACGTCGAGACGTTCGGGATTGGGATACCAGGAATCTCCGAATTGAGACGCAGGTAGCTAAGGTCCAGAGGGCGTCACACGGCTAGGTCAAGGCGGTCGATTAACCTTATCCACAAAGTCCTGGCGTTACGCCTGGAGAGAGTATAACAAGCCAGAAGGGAGAGCGGTCGATCGGTTCGGTCTCGAGTGGAATTGTCCAGGAGAGCCCTACAGATTGGACTTGCGAGGTCCCGGAGCGGCGTGCCCGACCCCCAAATATAACAAGTCAGAAGGGAGAGCGGTCGATCGGTACAGTCTCGAGTGGAATTGTCCAGGAGAGCCCTACGGATTCGACTTGCGAGGTCCCGGAGCGGCGTGCCCGAACCCCGAGTACCAAAAACCACGCGGAAACGTCCCGGACCAAAAGCAAAAGGGCAAGGCTAGGGTGGAACGTTCGTTTATACTAGGCGTGGAAGCGAAGTAAAGCGCGAGGCAGCTTCCTGGCGTTCCGCCTTGACTGTAGCGCGGGCTGAGCGGAAACCCCAGTGGGACCGTCCGGGACAGAGCAAGAGACAGGCGGCGGTGTGTCGAAAGGAGCGATCCTGGAGAGCGCAGCTTCTGTTCACCCTAGTCTGGGAACGGTGACGCTTCCCTAAGCCCGTATGGCTGATACCCCTCGCGAGTCCGAGTCGTTACCACCAGTCACCAAGTCACGCTTGAGAAGTGAACAGCGAGCGAGCGTCTTCAAGGAGCTGCGAGGATCTACAGGGAGGTGTAAGGATCTTCAGGGAGCTACAGAACTGGAGCAGCGAGTCATCAAGGTCAAGGAGTCAATCAGGACCGTAGGAAGTACCGAAGGTCACAAGCAACGAGTCAAGGCCAATCAAGCTACTAAGACACTTGTAATAATATACCCGCAATAAACCCAATACGAACCCGTGAATTCTGTGCTTTCTCACTGAGCTGATTAGAGGACATGAGAAAAGCATTATCCGAGTATTACTTAGAAACGGATAATGACCCACAACTCGTTGACATCTGGGTCGATTTGGAAGCCACATACCACGACAAAGCCGGCCCCAGCATCACGTTAACAAACGCCGAAGGGGACAACTTAGTGGCAAGCCTGAGCGTTGACAATCTACAGAAGGAGGCAAACAGGAGAGAATCAAGCCAAGACAGGAAAATAACAGCGCTAATCTCGAGACCCAGTCAGTCAGACTATGCAAGGATCGCTAAACCGCCCGACCGCGAATGGTCGTTCAGGTTCGACGGGGCGGAAAAACCGTTCGAGCTCCTGGAACAGGGGGAATGGTCCGCCAACACATACGGCTTGGAGTTAGACATGATTCCCCGAGCGATGCCTGAATTGCTGAAAGGAAGGGCTCTGAAGTGGTTTATCGACAACAACAAACAATGGAAAACATGGGCGGAGTTCATAGATAGTTTCCACACATACTTTCTACCGAGAGACTTCTTCACCAGGCTGGCGAATCAGGTCAGGCAACGGAAGCAGGGCTTCAGCGAGTCGTTCAAAGACTACATGATCGACATGCAGACGATGGTGAGGCCACTTAATTATTCCACTAAAGAGACCCTAAGGATCATCAAGGAAAACTGCACCCCCAGTCTAAGGATCTTCCTAAGGGCATACAAAGTGTCGGACCTGGACACGCTGATGATATTAGCAGACGAGTATGAAGAACTCGAAAAGGAGCGGGAAGCGTTAGCGCAGGATAACAAATTCTCGAAAACCAAGTCGGCATCGCCAGCGCAGGTAACATGCAGAAGATGCGAAGAGACAGGAATCCAGGAGACACGGGGAAACGACCAATGGTCGCCACCTAACCGAGTACCACGGCAGCAGGCAACAGGAGCACCACGCGGAGGCCAATGGACACCACCACAACAGCAACAGATGCAGCCAGCAAACAATGTTTGGAGGCCACCAAGTACAACACAAAGGCCTCGTGAAACGACACACATCACAGACCCCCAGGAGGCCTGCCGAAAGTGCGGCGGTCATGGACACTGGGCGCGGGGATGTCGGCACCAACGCCTGTTGTTCTGCTGGGTGTGCGGGAGAGTAGGCGTCAGGAGCGTCGAATGCTGCCAGCAGGCGGGAAATGCCCAGCGATCTCAGCCGCAGAGAGGCGAGCGGGGGTCGCAAGATGCTACCTCTCCAAACTAACAGGAAAGCTGATCGAATAGGAGCAGCAAATGTCCGCAGCGGTGACGATTGGTGAGGGCACATACAAGGCCACTATCGACACCGGGGCAACAGCAAGCTTTATAAGCAAAGAGCTGGCGGACGACCTTTCTGCCCTCGGCAAGTTAGGTTGGCAGACGGAAGATGTGGCGGAATCGATGAGCAGCTGGAGGTGGAAATTGCGTTCGGGAACAAGCGACTGAGCATGAGCCTGCTGATACTACCAGGGGTAGTGGATTTATTGGTGTTGGGATGGAACTTTCTGACACATGCCGGTACAGAGACTAAGTGCGCTGGACACGAAGTGATTATACCGGCCAGGAATCGTCACAAGGGATGGCTCGAGGAGAAGCTATCGGTGGCAGTCGTACAACGGGCAAGCGAAGACGACGTCACGACGAAATTCCTAGAGGCAGAGCTAGCGAGTTTCAGCAGCATGAAGGGAGCGTCAAACATGGCAGAGCATCAGATCACGATGAAAGACGACAAACCAATAAAGCAGCGATACTATCCCAAGAACCCGAAAGTTCACGGGGAGATCAATGCGAAGGTGGACGAGCTTCTCCAAATGGGATACATAGAACACTCAACAAGCCCATACAGTTCTCCCACCGTGATGGTTAAAAAAAAGACGGGCAAATGGAGACTGTGCGTCGACTTTAGGCAAATAAACGCAAAATCTATAAAGGATGCCTACCCGATGCCCCGAATAAATTAAATTCTCGACCAACTGAGGGAAGCACGGTACATCAGCAGCTTGGACCTAAAGGATGGGTACTGGCAAATCCCACTGAAAGCAGACAGCAGGCAGTATACGGCGTTTACAGTGCCGGGGAAAGGTTTATTCCAATGGAGAGTAATGCCATTCGGACTTCATTCGGCGTCGGCGACTTTTCAACGGGTGCTGGACCGAGTGATCGGCCCCGAAATGTCGCCGCACGCGTTTGCTTACCAGGACGACATCATAGTAATCGGGCGCTCGCTGGAAGAACACAAGGCCAACCTAAAGGAAGTGTTCCGACGACTAAAGGAGGCAAATCTGAGGTTAAACCCGGAGAAGTGCCAATTTTTCAAGAAAGAGCTGTTATATCTCGGTCATCGAGTGACTAGCGAAGGAATAGGCACGGATCCGGAAAAGGTAGCAGCCATCGCCGAACTAGAACCACCATCGACACTAAGAGAGCTCCGACAGTACCTGGGCGTAGCATCATGGTACCGCCGGTTTATACAATACCTGACTTCGCAAAAATAGTCAAACCTCTCAACGATCTGCTACGCAAGGCCAATAAGTGGGTGTGGACACAGGAACATCAGACGGCGTTCGAAGAGGTGAAGGCAAGACTCGTCGCAGACCCCGTACTGGCATGCCCGGATTTCGACAAACCATTCATCTTGCAAACTGACGCGAGCGACTACGGCATCGGGGCAATCGTGACCCAGGAAACTGAACGACGCGAAAAAGTAATCTCTTACTCAAGCCAAACGGTCAACGGCGCTGAGAAGAATTACTCAACGACCGAGTGCTTGGCAATCGTCTGGGCGATCCGAAAGCTCAAGCCGTATCTGGAAGGTTACCACTTTAAAGTAGTAACCGACCACATGGCGCTGAAGTGGCTCAACAGCATAGAAAGCTCTTCACGGAAGATCGCCAGATGGGTCCTGGAGTTGCAGCAGTACGACTTAAATAGCGTACAGGAAAGGACAACTCAACGTGGTGGCAGACGCTTTGTCAAGGCAGCCACTGCCGGAAACACTTCGAGGGATCAAATGCTGCTGGTATTGATAGACCGGTTCTCCAAGTGGACTGACTTGGTGCCGCTGCGAAGCGCGACGGCCGAGTCCCTAAAGAAAGCTTTTAAAGAACGCATAATCGCGAGGTATGGGGTCCCCAAAATAGTCATAACGGACAACGGAGTCCAGTTTGCCAGCAAAATTTTCAAGAGTTTCCTGGCCGAAATGGGAGCCAAGCAACAGTTCACAGCTCCATACACCCCACAGGAGAACCCGACTGAGAGAGCCAATAGGACGGTGAAAACAATGAAAGCGCAGTTCGCAGGGCAGAACCAAAGAGACTGGGACGAAAAATGGCCGGAAATCATGCTGGCAGTAAAGACGAGCGTTTCAGAATCTACAGAAACCGTAGGGACCGGACGACTGACAGAGACCCCGGAGGAGAAAGCAAACAAACTCAGAGAAATATTCGAGATTGTAAGGCGGAACCTGGAGAAAGCATCCCAGGCCCAGGCTACGCATTATAACCTAAGGAGGAGGCAATGGACGCCAAAGGTGGGTGACGTCGTGTGGGCCAAGGAACACAACTTATCAAAAGCGGCCGAGGGGTTCGCAGCAAAATTGGCCCCAAGATACGACCGACCTTACCAAGACATGGGTTTTTCGTCACCAGTAATCTGCAAAATACGACACATAAACACAAAGAAAGAGCGGACCATCCAAGCGAGCTGAAACAGCAACTAACGGAAAACACAAGCGAGCGGCCACAGCAAGCAGACACAACAGACGAAAAACAACATTGAAAGTACAAGGATACCTCCAAGGATGCCCAAAGGATACTACGAAAAGAGTCAAAGGATACCTCGAAGGATGCCCAATGGATACTACGAAAGGAGTCCAAGGATGCCTCCAAGGATGCCCACAGGATGCTACGAAAGGAGTCCAAGGATACCTCCAAGGATGCCCAAAGGATACTACGAAAGGAGTCCAAGGATACCTCCAAAAATTCGAAAGGGATACTACAAACCGACTCCAAGGATACTATAGGGCAACTACAAAGGCGCAATGAAACACATAAAGGACATCAGGAGAACGTTAAGAACACAAAGGGAGCAAACCAGAGCGTCTAAGGTCTCGATTGGGACTGATCGGAGGAAAGAAAAAACACGCATCAAAAGTCTGCCGAAGGAAGGGGGAAGACGGCACAGAGCAGAGAGCTGTACCGTAGATCTGGGTAGTAAGAATGAAGGCCGAAGGAAATAACGGGATTGAGCAAAGAGGAAGGCTCGGAACCGAGGTGTCGTTGAAGGGAGCCCAGGCTTCAGATGAACAATCAAAATCAACGAGCATCATGAGCACACGCATAGCAAGGAGCGAAGCGCGCAAAATGATGGCTAGCCCGGGGCAAGGATGGTCGACAGCCCGGCCTACGTGAACCTCGCGGCGGATCTCGGGGCGGGGCGTCCCCGAGCCGGTCATCAGCTCCGACAGCGACGTCGAGTTGTCGGAGGACCCGCGGGTGGAGCAGCGGCGATGGCGGCTTCGAAAAGCGGTCAACCGGGCCGACGGACGCATCCCGACTGGCGCTGCGGAGGTGGAGTGGGCCAGCGAAGAGACGCCCCAGGACCAGCTGGCTCCCAGTAGCCATGCCGAGACTGTGGTAGCGGCGACGTGGGAGTTTCGACGAAAGTGAGAGGCGCGAAGGCGGAGCGAGGAGCGGCGGTTGAAGGAGATGGAGGAGTCGCCGGAGTGGCAGGCCCAACTGTGGATGGCCGAGGAGGAGGAGCAGCAGCTGTGGGAAAACCCAGGGTACCCACCCACGCCAAGGTATGCGCCCGAGCCCTGCATCCCGCCGCAAGAAGTGGCAGACGTCTGGGCGTCCTCACCTCCGCGGTGGCTGCCCGAAATCCCGCCCACACCGCGGTACGAGGGGTCACCACAGTGGACGCCAGCACGACCGCCCACGCCGAGGTTCGAGCAGCCACCACCGCAGCAGCAGCCACCACAGCGGCAGCAGCTCGAACGCGATCAGCCACCACCGCAGCAGCAGCTCGAGCGCAAGCAGCCACCACCGCAGCAGCAGCCACCACAGTGGCAGCAGCTCGAACGCGAGCAGCCACCACCGCAGCAGCAGCCACCACAGCAGCAGCCACCACCGCAGCAGCAGCCACCACCGCAGCAGCAACACATCCGGACGGACACACCGGCGGCCCACGTGAGCCACAGCACCCGGACGTTCGTGGCCGAAGGGGTAAGGTGGCGGCAGCAGACGGTTGTCTGGACTTGGCCGGAGGGACCCGCGGAGGAGACGGCGGCGACGGAGGAGCCCCGAATCTGGGAAGAGAGTGGTCCCCGGGTGAGCCCGCTGCATCCCAGGACCCGCGGTAGACCGGAGCATTGGGCCCTACCGACGCCGAGCACCGGACCAACGACGCCAAGGACAGGGCCATCGACGCCAATGCCAACCGGGAGCGCGACGGCAACCGCGGAGCCAAATGAGCCGCTGGAGCGAGGACCCTGGATGTGGCCTGAGCCCGTGGAAAACGGTCGTCCTCCGCTCAAGCGGCAGCACTCGGCGCCCGAAGTGTCCGAGGTGGTGGCACGGCCGAAATTGTCGCGGACGGTGTCGGCGCCGGAGGGCCAGCGATGGCGAGAGATCGCGGAGCATGAGTGGCCCGAAGGGATCGCGGAGGCACCGGTGGTAAAAGAGGCTCGCATCCTGGGCGGCATGCGCAGCGTGCGCGTATGGAGAGAGGGGCGCGCGTTCCGCGTCCGGTTGGGGCTGGCGGGCACGAGAGTGTTCGAGGAGCGGCCGAATAAAATTTGAATAAAATGAACAAAACAGAGTTTGAAAACCGGCATAGGACGGGAAACGCGGCTGAAACAGGGGCCAGAAGTAAGGGGCATACATGGCAGCTCCGGCATCCTGAAATTCATATTGGGTTAATACAGGAAGCAGCCAAACGATACCAAAATACTCACCTGCAGCGAAGCAAATGCGAAGTCCTCTCCGCACCAGCTCTCGAGTGTTGCCAGCGTGAAGCCAGGCGCAGCTGGCTGAGGACGATTGAAGGGCGAGAGAGAGAGACGAGAGGCGGGAGAGGTCGTGTGGAGAGAGATAGGATGAAATAGAAAGGAGTGAGGAAATGCGAAAACTTACCTAGAAAGTTGCAAAATCATCATGAGCCAGGAAAGGGGGCGCCTCGATAGGCGATCGATTGGCACTGGACGACAGTGCGATCGATGGGCACACGAAAATGGAAACATCGGCCAAGGTGGAAATATCGCAACGAGCAGGTGGCAACGCCGCACCGTCGGTATCGATATGCGAATAATCATCGGTCACGCACGAATGGTGTGACCAGGCGGAGGAACCAATAAAAGGAGTAGAACGCAGCAACGAGCAGCGAGCTGGGGATCGATAGCCCACAAGTATCGATGTCCCAGTGGGGTCATGGAAAATATCGGCGCGGGAGATTCAAGTTGCTACGAGGAGGATGACCAGCGCTGTGGAAACTCAACAGAGTTAAGAGCGTCGTGGGAGCACCGAGGGAGCGCCGCGGGAATCACAAGGACTCGAAGGCTAGGATAAGCAAGGGAACGCCGGAGAGTAGGAACAAGTTTTAAATGTTTCCCAAAGTAAGGGGGGAATGTGAGGAGTTGAATAACTCCCCACAAATAGAAGCAGCAGCAGATGGCCGGCCGCTTACCAGATACGCGGCGAATTCGCGTAGTAACGGCGCGGCGAGGAGAGTTTGGAGACTTGGATGGAGATCGAGAGAGTTTTGAGACCAAGGATGGAGAGCAAGAGAGTTTGAAGACTTGGATGGAGAACGAGAAAGTTTGGAGACCAAGGATAGAGATCGAGAAAGTTTGGAGACCAAGGATGGAGATCGAGAGAGTTTGGATACACAGGGTGGAGAGCGAGAGAGTTTGGAGACCTCGCGGGCAAGGCAAGAGTGCCGTGTGCAAAAACGGATAACGGAACTCCACCGGACTTTGGACTCTCCCGTGAACTTTGGACCGGGAGAAGAAGTGCCAGATCTCGGCAGTGGAGCGGCACACAGGCGTGCCACAAGCATCACAGGAATCAGCGGGACGGCAGCAGTGGGCGGGGCATCGATTGGATGCGGCACGTGAAGGACAAGTGGGTCAACCAGAAGGCACGGACTTTGGATCCGGAGTGGAGAGATTCAGCGGGCCATGCGCAATAGGGAAATAACGGATCCCGGAGGCCCTATATAAGGGCGCATAGCGCTGGCAGCTGCATTAGTCGATCACAAGGAGTAAACCGTCAAGATCACTTAGATACCAAAGTAAACAATCAAACGACCAGATAATCTACAAGGGAGCAACAACAAGTCGAGTCGCCAGAGAAGCAGCGCCGTGGGAGCCTACAAGGAGCAAGATTGCTACGTCGAGACGTTCGGGATTGGGATACCAGGAATCTCCGAATTTCGACGCAGGTAGCTGAGGTCCAGAGGGCGTCACACGGCTAGGTCAAGGCGGTCGATTAACCTTATCCACAAAGTCCTGGCGTTACGCCTGGAGAGAGTATAACAAGCCAGAAGGGAGAGCGGTCGATCGGTTCGGTCTCGAGTGGAATTGTTCAGGAGAGCCCTACAGATTGGACTTGCGAGGTCCCGGAGCGGCGTGCCCGACCCCCAAATATAACAAGTCAGAAGGGAGAGCGGTCGATCGGTACAGTCTCGAGTGGAATTGTCCAGGAGAGCCATACGGATTCGACTTGCGAGGTCCCGGAGCGGCGTGCCCGAACCCCGAGTACCAAAAACCACGCGGAAACGTCCCGGACCAAAAGCAAAAGAGCAAGGCTAGGGTGGAACGTTCGTTTATACTAGGCGTGGAAGCGAAGTAAAGCGCGAGGCAGCTTCCTGGCGTTCCGCCTTGACTGTCCGCGCGGGCTGAGCGGAAACCCCAGTGGGACCGTCCGGGACAGAGCAAGAGACAGGCGGCGGTGTGTCGAAAGGAGCGATCCTGGAGAGCGCAGCTTCTGTTCACCCTAAGCCCTTACGGCTGATCCTCCTCGCGAGTCCGAGTCGTTACCAGCAGTCACCAAGTCACGCGTGAGCAGCGAACAGCGAGCGAGCGTCTTCAGGAAGCTGCGAGGATCTTCAGGGAGCTGCGAGGATCTTCAGGGAGCTACAGGACTAGAGCACCGAGTCATCAAGGCGAGAGGTCGTCGAGTCAATCAGGACCATCTAAAGTACCGAAGGTCACAAGCAACGAGTCAAGGCCAACCAAGCGACTAAGACACTTGTAATAATATACCCGCAATAAACCCAAAACGAACCCGTGAATTCTGTACGTTCTCACTGAGCTACTGCCGGTCACGTTAATATAAATTTGGTGGGACGAACACACAATATACTGAGCTAGCCGCACGAATCTCGTAGCGAGCAGACCAAAAAAATCAGTTCGTTACAAGTTTCCACATTATTCGAATAAAACCGTATCCCATTATTGTATCTAGATGCCACTTTTTCTTTCAAGTTTTCTTTCAACGACTTGTTGAGCCACCAGATTTGGCCAACACTCCTTGATCGGATCAAATAGAGATGATCTAGCTGGTTCTTCGAATGTTTGAATGGGACGTACTAGTTCAGCTCCCCGTTTGTCGACTTGTCCTTCTGAACACCTGACTGCTGTCGACCGCTGAAAGTGTTCGCTTTCCCGTTTTTTTGACACAGAGGACAAGTAGGTTGGTAATTATTCGGAGCGCCACATCCAAAACAATAGACTTTGCGCTTCATCCGACATTGCTTGTGTCGATGGCCTTCCTTGCGACAATTCCAGCATATGAGTGCCAATGCACTCACTTCTCCATTTATTTCACACTCGGAAAACTCCTCAGCATCCATCATACCTCAACCAACTCGGAGACTTGCTTGCGGAATGGTATCTGGTATCCCAGGGATTTTCGGACGTCTTCTAAAAAGCTTTCCCTGCGTCGACATTTTTCCCTTAATCGTTCTACCGTTCGAACTGGGATGTTCAGAATTTCGTGTCTTATTTCCGGCCTTAAATTCCTTTTTAAAATTTCTACCACTTCCGTTTCGGTTAGGGGCATATACAGGTTGTCCATTAATGCCTCTATTGCATCATAGAATGTATCAAACCCTTCTCTTTCCCGCTGCTTCCAATCCCGAATAGCTTCTCGGATATCTAAGTCCGTCCGAGCTTCTCTGAATTGCCTTCTTAGTGCAGGACATAGATAATCCCATCGCAATTCCTGGGTATTCTTATGGTACCTTCAGTAGAACTCTTTCGCTTTTCTTTTAAACAGAAGGCTGCTCAGGATCGAAAAGTTTCCTTCCAGCGTTTGTTTCGTGAGAGCCTCAGCTCGGTAAATGAAATTGTCGACACTGAGACCTTCCGGATTTCCACTAAACCGCAATTTTCAACTATTTAAGATATGGCATACTTTGTCGAGCCTCTGGCTTAGGACTGAGTGACTACTCCTGGGTGTTTCGCGACCGGAACCTAATGGTCCATCCATGTCGAACATTGGAATTCGACCTAGAGAATCTCCTCCAAGCACTATTTCCGGATTAGCAACTTTTACAGCTGGAAAGGGTGCAGACAAATTGGCTTCAATCAACCTAGTCATTCTTTCTGATAATTTTGTCAACAAATCATTCTGTATGGACTTTACCACGTCTAATATTGTACTCTGGGTCAATTCTTTCTGAGCCATTCCCAAAGCTGCTGCCCCTGACGAGCCACTGGGGGTAGCATCTATAACCTGGCCTTTCAGTGACGTAGTATTTTGAGATGGGGCTCCAGGTCTTTCAAAGCACACTTAGAATAACCTGCAATACATGCCTGATGGAAAACATGCCCACATCTAGTTTTGAAAATTTTTCCTGAGTCTAAGGTGGATTCACAGAAAGGGCACTTTTGTGCTGCGTCTCCGTCTGCACCTGCCATGGCGCTTGCTCAAAAGATTTATTGTAAATGCGAAATTAAACAAAACAAAATTCAAATCTAACACGACATAACATAAATACACTTTAACTAAAATGCTAACAATTATATCTAACAATCAAACAATACTAATCTTACTATGAAATCTTAGAGATATTAATAAAGTTCCAATCAGATATACTATGCAACTCAATTGAACGAAAAGGTCAACAAGCTCACTGTTGGACCAGATGTTCCACTTGATCGAACCACCAAACCGAACAAACTGATTTGTTCGACTGATCTTAAATTTAGGTCCAAAATATAAAGGTAATAAATATTTCAGTACGGAGAGTATCCAGCAAAACAAAAAGATCGGAAACGACAAATATATCATAAAATAATTGACCCTAAGCATAACTAATCCCCCCGAGACAAAACCTGAATGCAAAGAAGAAAAGAGAATAGAAGAGAGAGCAGAGATAAGAATGCACGTGAGTGGCGCCTGACAGCTGATGCTTGTGCAAACACAACAACAACAACTGCGGCTAGGCGATTGCGGCTAGCCACTCTTGCCCATCATCCAAGCTGCGTGCACTGCAATGAAAACATTTTAATTTTCCTTTTATTTTTGTGGTCAGCAAAGATTTCAACACAAAAAAATTTGCTGTAATTCCAAAGCAATATATTTTTAAGAATAATAATGTTAGTTTATTTTATTTAAACTTAATCAATAGTCTGCGTTTTAGCATCATCCAAAAAAACATTATTTCCTGCAGTTCCTATGCGTTAAATAAAAAAAACCTATGGATTCGGTGTGGAAAGAGGGTAATAGTATTTTTCTTCCCCGCTCAAGTTTAGATCAAACCGTGCTCGGACGACCATACTTTGCAGTATTTTAGCCTCACCGATTCCTATTCGACTGATCGAACTTCAAACGAGGTTTGAAGGTTTCAATTTTCTGGAGAGATGTTAGATAAGGAAGGGTGCCGCACGCAACTAATTAAACAGAAATTTCCGACCCTTGCTCACCAGCAATTAGGGTGGTGTTCTTGCCACGCCCCCCAAGGTGCTTATACCTATTATCTTCCTAAAAAACTTGCGTGCAAAAAACAAGCTGAATTCGGTGTGATCACCACACATCCTAGCCATATAGAACTGGAGAGGGACTTGAAAGGGATAGAAAGAAGCTTCCCTTGCTTTGGATCATGCCTCCGAACGTCCAAGACCTCCGATTTTTCGAGGTTTGATTTGACCTTCCAACCTATGGCTATTAGGATCCTGTAAAAAGAATCTCTAATTTTAACAATAGCCCCATTCGTCCAGAGGTCTCAGGGGGTCATGTTAGCTCGGGTCAAAAATTGATGATGGTAATGCAGGTATAAGCGCCAATCCTAGCAAAAAAAATTATATTTTGGCTGGAGTTTCTCCCTAGAACCTCTGCACTTCATTACCTCTACGGACTTATCGCTGGCTAAAGATAATTCGCTTCTTTGTTCTTTCCTTTGAACTTCTGCCCCTGGTCACGAATCTGAACTTTACTTATTTCACCCAAGCGTGGTGTAACTAAGAATTATAAGTCTTAAGTCGCGTACAACCGATCCTCAGGAGATGTGAAAATGGAAAGAACGCTATGGACGCTTGACTCTTAGCGCTAACCAAGGAGAGCAGAGACAATGCCCCATAATGAGGTTGACATTTCACCCTGTTACTCTTCTCCAACTCTTTCTAGTTCCTAGTTCTAGCATTGACTCCTAGATGGTGCACCATTACCAAATATCTTTTCCTGCTGATACAAGCGTTCCAAAGCCCCCCCTCAAGAATCTGGCTTGGGGTTTGACACCCTAAGACAGATCACCACAAGAGCTTGCAGCTGCAGGTCCTCTAACTCATAGCATGAGTTTCCAACTCATTTGCGAACTCTAGCTTTCACGTACCCTGGACCTAATTTTGCACAGTATCCCGCCGAAAAATTACTTTGTTTGAAATTCTTGTAAAACACTTCCTGCCCTTCTTTATAGGCTACTTCTCTCGATCGCAAATTATACTGCCGCTTGTTTTTCTCATTATGTTTCTTTAACAGTTCACGAGCCTTATTCCGGACTGTCTCAAAGGGGTTCTCTTTTGAAAACACCAATGACCTGTCCTCTAGAATTCCTAAAGCTCTTAACAGTTTGTACGAGGATCCAGAGGAGACGAAGTTTTGGCAAAATGCCATATAATACGAACAAGTACGACACCGATATCAGGCTAACCAAAGCCTACTCTCTGACGCACAGCATGCGTACTGTAAGGGTAGATCAACCGATACCGCCCTCCACTCTCTAGTGTACAGTATAGAAAGAGGTTTCCGCAATAAGGAATACTCTCTTGCAGCGTTTCTAGACATAGAAGGCGCCTTTAACAACGTCTTCCCAACGGCGATTACTGGTGCTCTGACTGAACTGGGCATTGAGCGGCCCATAGTGGGACTCATACACACCATGCTAACCAGCAGAGTAGTGTACTCCACTATGGGATCAGCCCACTCGGCCAGGAATGTCAGCAGAGGAACCCCACAAGGGGGCGTACTCTCACCTCTTCTATGGGTTTTAGTGGTCAACAAACTGCTATCACTTCTAGAAGAGGCGGGCACTAAAGTGGTAGCCTACGCGGACGACGTGGTTATCCTAATGCAGGGCAAATTCCCGCAAACTCTTTGTAATCTAATGGAGACAGCCTTATCCTCCCTCTCCCGGAGGACGGCTGCCTGTGGACTGGGAGTTAACCCAGAAAAGACCGAACTAGTTCTCTTTACAAGGAAGTATAAGGTACCAAATCGAATTCTCCCAAAACTACACCAAACGCGCCTAACCTTTAGCAATCAAGCAAAAAACCCAGGTGTCATCCTTGACAAACAGCTCCTCTGGACAGATAACATCCTAGATCGCACACGCAAAGCGGCCACAGCCCTCTTCGCTTGTAAAAAAGCCATAGGGAGGAAGTGGGGTTTCTCCCCATGATAGTTCACTGGGTATTCACTGCAATAGTCAGGCCCATTCTGCTCTACGGAAACATCGTATGGTGGCCTTCCCTAGAAAAGAATTGCAACCTCCGGATCCTTTACAAGATCCAAAGAAGCGCAGAGCTCTGCATCAGTGGGGCGCTTCGCACCACCGCCACTGAAGCACTGAACACAATTCTCGACCTCCAACCCCTGGACCTACTTGCCAAAAGCTGGTCATCTGCAACAGCGAAGAGGCTCCGCGAAGCAGCGGCATGGACAACAGGCTCTACGGGTCACTCCAATATCCTATCAAAACATACATCCTTACCTTACATCCACCCATAGTCAACTTCGAAAGAAGATACAAGATCTTCATACCCACCCGTACAGACTGGGACAACCTCCCACACCAATTCGAAAACGCCGTCAACATATACACAGACGGCTCCAAGCTTAACTCCCAAACAGGTGGGGGAGTCTTCTCCCCCGAACTAGACATAAAAGTCTCGTTCCGCCTACCAGACCACTGTAGTGCTTTCCAAGCGGAAGTCATGGCAATTCAGAAGGCCATGACCAACCTGGACACGTCAGTACATCATGACTTAGATATCTTCAACTTCTCGTATAGTCAAGCAACCCTCAGGGTCCTCGACTCCTACACAACGAACTCAAAAACAATCTCTGAATGCCGCAAATCTATTAACAAGATGGCCACTCATCTGAGAATCAACCTCATCTTGGTGTCCAGGCGGACACCGCAATATTGAGGGCTACTGCATAGCAGACGAGCTAGCAAGACAGGGGACAACCACCGACATCTTTCGCGATAAGGACACGGTGGGTATGCTCATGGCTACCTGCAAACTCCTTCTCAGGCAGAGACTGTACACACTTTCCAACAACCATTGGAACTCAATCTCAACGTGCAACAATTCTAGACTCACGTGGAGAAACTACAACTCGAAAAGAACAAAAACTCTTCTACAATGTAGCAGGGAGGACATCTCCACTCTCCTAAATGCCCTCACGGGCCACTGTCTTATAGGGACTCATGCGCTCAGGCTGGGACTCAGTAACAACGACTTTTGCCGCAGCTGCAAACAGAGCATCGAACACCTCATATGCTTCTGCCCAGCGCATAGCCTAAAGCGCTTTCAAACCCTAGGTAGCTACACACTTCCGAACCTTGCGGCCATTCAGGGCGTAAGCATTCAAAAACTCTTATGTTTCCTGAGAAGAACAAAACACTTCGCGAAAGCAAATAACCCATGAGCTAGGGAAAAGGATCTAATCAGAGATCATGTGGTTTCACAAGGGGCCCAATGTGGCCTAAGTGTGGGGATTAGTATCTTATCTCCAACCACTCCAACCTAACCTAACCTAACCTAGTATCCAGCAAAACAAAAAGAGCAACAAAAGCTACTAATAAAAAAGAAATTTCCGATTCTCGCTCGCCAGCAATTAGGGTGGTGTTTTTGCCACGCATCCCAAGGTGCATATACCTATTATCTTCCTAAAAACTTGCGTGCAAGGGACAAACTGAATTCGGTGTGAGGATCACCACTCATCCTAGCCATAAGGAACTGAAAAGGGATTAGAAAGGGATAGAAAGAAAGTTCCTTTGCTTCGGATCATGCCTCCGAACGTCCAGGACCTCAGATTTTTCGAGGCTTGATTTGCCCTCCCAACCTATGGCTATTAGCATCCTGGAAAAAGAATCCCTAATATTAACAATTGCCCCATTCGTTCAGAGGTCTCAAGGGGATATGTTAGCTCGGGTCAAAAATAGGGGTTTCTAGAACATTATAAAAGTTTATTTAACATCTAAACATAATAAGATTAAAACCCTGACATAACCATAAAAAACATATTAAATAAGATATAAATGTATAAAATAATAATGTAGAAATACAGTTAAATAAATTAATATAAACTAAACAAATACGGGAAATGCATATAAAAACATAAAATTTAACTCCAGCACTTTATAATATCAAAATTTAACTTTCAGAGGGAACAATGCAAACAAAACCATTTGTATTTATATTTAAATGAATTGCACTTGCTTCGAACAAGCAAACGAACAAGCAAAGGAACATGAGTGAAAGTGAGGTTCGATCGAGTCTTTTACATATGAGAGGTTTCTTTTTTTTCTTGATTTATATTCACCATTTAAACTTTAATTTGGGCATCGGATGTTATTTAAGCATCTTTTCTCGATTTTCTTTCCTCTTTTTCAGATTTTACTTTATTTTATGCAATACAGACATCACCAAATTAGAGTTATATCGTTAATTGTGGATTTTGCACTCACCAACATTATCGCAGCTACATCGTTGAAAGCGCTTTCTCGGACAAATCGCGGCTGAAAATGTAAACCTTAAAGAGGGCAAAGAAAATCACTAATATTTTTGAAAGTTAAAACATTTACCTGTTTTCTCTTTTTTTCCTTTTGGTTCTCAAAGAGGTTAGGTGTATGGGGCAACAACAACACTCACTTCGAACTGCCTTCTTGCCGTTTGCTTAATCCATTTCCTTTTCCTCTTTTTGAAATTGACTATGGCCCACAAAACTAGCAAAATCACTTATTCACTAAAAAAAAAAAAAATCTGTCTTATTTAAATTTTTCACGTTCGCTTCACGGCTGCAGTTCCACGGGGCGTTTAAGTTTGGCAAATTTTATCCGGGAAAATCGGTCGATCTGCGCATGACCGTCGGATCCCACTCCACGAATTCGATTTACGCCTTGGACACTTTTCCGGCGGAAAACTAGCTTTTTTTCTTAACTTTTCGGTAGCAAATCGTTGGACGACCTTAGAGAGCGGTCGCGAGACAACTAGGCGCTCACACCCAAATGTTTGTTCTATGCCAACACAAATCTCAAAAAATATATTTTCCGATCGCTGCTCCTGCTGGTCTGCGCCGTAGACTTCAGATTTCACCAAATCCGTTCTCCACAATTATTTCTCCCTAGAACCTCTGCACTTCATTCCCTCTACGGACTTATCGCTGGCTAAAGATAATTCGCTTCTTTGTTCTTTCCTTTGAACTTCTGCCCCTGGTCACGAATCTGAACTTTACTTATTTCACCCAAGCGTGGTGTAACTAAGAATTGTAAGTCTTAAGTCGCGCACAACCGATCCTTAGGAGGTGTGAAAATGGAAAGAACGCTATGGAAGCTTGACTCTAAGCGCTAACCTCTGTGAAAACCTAGGAGAGGAGAGACAATGCCCCATAATGAGGTTGACATTTCATCCTGCTACTCTCCTCCAACTCTTTCTATGCCCCCTCCTAGTTCTAACATTGACTCCTAGATGGCACACCTTTACCAAATATCTTTTTCCTGCAGATACAAGCATTACAATAACCCTTTTTAAATCTTTTCTGGGAAATAGCTTAAGCCTAGTACTCACTTCGACGAAAACCACGAGCTAACCATAGGAGTGAGCGAGAGGCAAATACGCAGCTAACGCTTTTCGTCCGGTCTGTTTTTCAGCGGGGTACTCAGATGAGCTAAGGAAATACCAGAAAAAGTTCCAGATTTAGCAAGTGAATTTCGATGAACACCGTTAGCCGCGGCCCAAGGAACAAGAAATTTAATCTTTGGCGGTGTGCGTGCAGAAACGGTGGAGAGTTTAAAAATTAAAATTGAAAGAAAAACCCCAAAATCGCTTTAAAGAGGTTACTACAGATTAAAAAGGACGCCAAATCCAAGCTGTTGCCCATTATTGTGGGACTTGGCCGACAGGAAGCAATACCATAGCGGCGCAAATCCGCAGAATAGTTGAAGTTCAGGAGGAGATCCACTAGAAAATCTTAGTGGGAAGGAACATGGGACATCGCTCGATATCCGACGAGCTCTCCATTAAGGACTCCACCTCCACCAGCTACTTGGCAGCTAAAGCGGAGATGGAGGGCGCGCCGGCTTCTATAGGGAGGAAGAAATAAGGTCGTTCGCTAAGGGACAGCTGGAATAGCCATCACCAGCTATTATTAGGATGCTGGGCGACTTCATGCAGCATCAGCCGAAACAACCCTGTTCCCAACACGACTCCCACTTCCTCAAGGTCCAACATGCCTATTGGGACTCGGGTGGACAACAGATGGCGCGGGAAAGATGGCATCCGTGGGACGAGAAGGAAGCCTTAAACTTCTAATTTGCATACATAAAAACATTCGTTGAACATCATTTAGTTTTATACCCGTTATTCGTAGAGTAAAAGGTATACTAGATTCGTCGGAAAGTATGTAACAGACAGAATGAAGCGTTTCCGACCCCATAAAGTATATATAACATATTCTTAATCAGGATCATTAGGCGAGTCGATATAGCCATGTCCGTCTGTCCGTCTGACCGTCTGTCCGGATGAACGCTGAGATCTCGGAAACTTTGGGAGCTAGCTGATCAAGCCATAGCCGATCTTTTTGCACAGTTTTTTCAAACCACCTATTCAACATCAAGTCCTCCAGATCAGTCTTACCCATATGTCATTCCTAAATCAAACTTTATTTGTTGTCCTGTTATAAGTAAAAGCTCACTTCTTTTAGAATTGCAAAGGGTCAAACCAGTCTACTCTCCGGGTCCTGACGGAGTCCCTGGATGTGTGCTTAGGTATTGCGCTGAGACTTTGTGTAGACCATTGCACAAACTGTTTACTTTGTCTTTAGAAACATCCGATTTCCCACACAGATGGAAGGAATCGTTTGTTATCCCGCTTCATAAAAAAGGGAGTAAATTGAACGCATGTAATTACAGAGGTATTTCAAAGCTATCAGCTATACCGAAGCTCTTTGAGAACATTATTACGCCTCATTTACAACACAGTTGTAGGTCCCTTGTTTCCTCTTGTCAACACGGATTTATAAAACGTAGGTCAACGACAACCAACCTTTTGGAGTTTACTTCATTTGTTATAGGAGGTTTTAGAAAGAATCGTCAGACTGATGTGGTCTACACTGATTTTAGTAGGGCGTTTGATTCTGTAAGTCACCCGATTTTAGTCCGGAAATTGGACCTTTTAGGGTTTTCAGGTGATCTTCTTAGGTGGATTTTAAGTTATTTGAATGATAGGACTCAAAGGGTCATTTTTAAAAACTCTTTGTCATCCCTAATCCGAGTTACTTCCGGTGTACCACAAGGAAGTCATCTCGGTCCGCTCCTGTTTACATTATTTATAAATTAGTCTTAACGAAGTCACGGGTTCTTATGTACGCAGATGACGTTAAGTTGTGCCTGCAATATAATGACCCCGCACAAAGTTTAGCTTTACAATCGGATCTAAATGCATTTCAAACATGGTGCATGGATAATGAATTGAATTTAAATGGTTCTAAGTGTAAACTAATGACCTTTTTTCGTGTCAGCCCCCACTACTCAACGTATACTTTGAGTGGTTGTGCGTTAGATAGGATAACGCATGCTGACGACCTTGGAGTCTACATGGATCCTAGACTTAACTTTTCCGATCACATTACTACTATGGTAAATAAAGCCAGGGGCGTGCTTGCATTTATCAAAAGGTGGTCGAAGGAATTCGATGATCCCTATGTCACAAAGACCTTGTTTATTTCATTAGTCCGACCAATTCTTGAGTACTGCGCTCCTGTTTGGAGTCCCCAATATGGGGTGCATATAGACCGGATTGAGTCTGTGCAAAAAAATTTCTTAATATTTGCCTTACGGAGACTTAACTGGGATACAAGCCTAATACTACCATCCTACTCTAGTAGACTACTTCTAATTAACTTACCATCGTTAGCTAACCGTAGAACTATGCTTGGTATTACGTTTATTAGAAATCTTATTCATGGTGATGTAGAGAGTCCCGAGTTACTGGGTCGCCTGCATTTTAATGTGCCAAATAGATTCACTAGAAACTATATTCCTTTAGTATTAAATCACTGTATCTCTAATTACGCAATGCATGAAACTTTTAGAGTACTTTGCAATGATTATAATAGACTATATCATCTAATATCTACTACTGACTCACTTCCTATCTTTAAATCAATAATACTACTATCCCTAGTAACTAATTAGTTTTACTTGATGTATTTTGTCTATTCGTATTGACCTGTATTTTTAATTGTCTATTGTTACATTGTCTTTTTCTTTGTCCGCGAGTATGTTTACTCGCCCAAAACGGGGATGGGCTCCGCGCGTAACAAGCTTTGCTTGGTGTCGTAGGGCCACTTGTTTGTACTGACCATAGTGCATCAACGTCCAAGAATATAGGCTATTGAGATTTGGCGTGCAGATTCCTGAGCTTTTTACGCAGCGCAAGTTTGTTTCACCAGAGTGCCACGCCCACTTTAACGCCCACAAACCGCCCAAACCTGTGACGGCCACAATTTTCATGCTAAATAAATAATTTTAACTGAAATGTATTGGTCTCGTCAATACCTATCGAAAAAATTTAACGCTATAGTCGAGTACCTCGACTATCAGATACTTGTTACTCAGCTAAAGGTACCAAAGGGAAATGGAGATATGCAAGGAGCAAAGCGAGATTGAAAGGCGCCGCCTACCCGTGATCTCAATATGTGGTTATGTGGGCGGTAGACATATTTAAGCGTTATGCGCGTTAGAGTGGGCGTGGCAAACTTTTTTTGAATCAATCGATAAGTATTGACCAGACCAATACTTTTCAGTAAAAATTAAAAAAAAAAATAGCATGAAAACTGTGGGCGCCACAGGCTTGGTCGGTTTGTGGGCGTGGCAAACTGTTTTTTAGATCAATCGATTGGTATTGACGAGACCAGTACATTTCAGTTAAATTTTTGTATCTAGCATGAAAATTGTGGGCGCCACAGGCTTGGGCGGCTTGTGGGCGTTAGAGTGGGCGTGGTATATTTGAGTAACAAACTTGGGCTGCGTACAAGGCTACGGAATCTAAGTCTGCGATCCCATTTCTCTTTCTTTGATTGTTTCCGAGATATCCGCGTTCATATTTACGATTTTTTGAAGTTTGTGGGCGGTTTTTGGGCGTTAAACTTTGTTTTGGTCAATCGATAGGTATTGATGAGAACAATAAATTTCAGATACAATTTTTATTCTAGCATCAAAACTGTAGGAGCACATTTCTGAAAAAAAATTTCACTGCGCAGGAATCTCAGGAATCTGCATGCCGAATCCCAGTATTGTAGCTCTTATAGTTTCCGAGATCTCAGCGTTCATACGAACAGACGGACAGACGGACATGGCTAGATTGACTGGGCTAGTGATCCTGATCAAGAATATATATATTTGAATCTAATAGTATAATAATATATAAAGCCCAAAGAAATTATTCGGTTACTGAACAGGAGTGTCTCGCGACCATTGTTTGCATTAACCGTTTTCGGCCTTACGTAGAAGGGCGTGACGCTTCACTCAAATGGCTCATGAGTCAGACGGATCTCCACTCTCGCTTTGATCGATGGGCCTTAAAATTGCAAGGGTTCAATTTCAAAGTTGAACATCGAGATGGGAAAATTAATGTTATACCAGACGCTATGTCTAGAGCCAATGAGGCAGAAGTAGCTGCAGTAGAGGCGATACATGGACTATTAGCAGACCTTCAAGCACCAGAGTTCAAGTCGACCAAGTATCTAGAACTGCTAGAAAAAATCAAGACTACACAGGATCAGTTGCCGGACTTAAAAGTTGTAGATTTACGCGTTTATCGGAGATCCGAGCATGCAACAGGAGATCAGCTGCATGATATTTTCAGTTGGAAGTTATGGATTCCAGATTCCAGTTGCCAAGCTTCTGAAAAAGAATCATGATGACCC